TTCTCCTTCTTCTTTCTCAGGCTTTTAAGGTTGGACAAAGACCTCCTTCTGTCTTTCCCTCCATCACACTCTGCCCTCACCTCTCTCCTTCTTCAGTCCTTCCTTTCCTCCCTCTCTCCCTTCCTTTCTTTCTTCCATGTTCCTTTATATTTTTAAAGCAAATCGATAGAATCCCTGATAATGCATGGTCAAGCGTTTGGATGCTAACTAAAAGTTGGTAGTTTAAGTCACCCAGAAAGTGCCTTGGAAGAAAATTCTGGCATTCCCATTTCTCAAATGCAGCCACTGAAAATCCTTTGGAACAGAGTTCCACCCTGACACAAGTAGAGTCATTGTGAGTCAGCATTCCTTCACAGTAACTGGCTTGTTAGATGTACAGCCAAAGTGAGTATCTTTCTCCAGGTAGATCCATGCGATGCTGGAGAACATTGGAATAGAACAAATAAACACGTATGAGGAGACTACACACTTTCTCTGAGGGACACATAGAATCAGAAAACCTCTCACCCCCAATAAGACCCCAAAGAAGTATGTACTGAAGAAATGCCACTGGACTAGATTAGATAGTAAACTGACCTGCAAGTCAGGAGACCGGGTTAGTCATACAACCTTGGGCAAGTCATGTCACCTCCTTGGACCTTTCTTCTATCTGGAAAAGAAGAGATGAGGTTTGGAATGCTCTTATTCTACGAACTTTGTGCATTACTAAAGCCTTATGCCAAAATTAAGGCAGCGTCTACCAGCCTTTCTGTGGGAGGAAAGATGGGTAATCTTTTCCTGTGTGAGTTATTGCTTCTGAAAACCTTGCTGGGGGGTTAGCTAGGGCTCAGTTCTGACTCAATGGTACACAACAACAACAATGCCAATTATTGCTCCTTTATAAAACAATTGTGAAGAAAGCCAGAATAATGAAATATATTAAGTGAGAGAAAGATGGGAAATCTCTTCCCATTGCCTCTGAAAACCCTTTGGAGGGTCAGCTGTGGGTCAGTTCTGACTTGATGGTACACAAGAACAACAACAACAACAACAAGGTATCTTTGGATGAAATAGAAAGTTTGAATTGACTGCCTTATTGTATTTCTAGAATCTCTTATATTTCCTTATGTAGTGATATGTCGGGCTTTGGTGGCGTAGTGAGTAGCATATTGCACTACTACCCAAAAGGTTAGCAGTTCAATTCCAGCAGGTGCTTCTTGGGAGAAAGATAGGCAGTCTTCTCCTGTCCTTAAAGATTTAGGACCTAGGAAACACAGAGGAGGGTTGCTGTGTGTCATATCCCGCTTGACAGCAGTGTGTAGATGGATATGTGTGTGTACTCTACACGAACCATATAAAATGTATGACTCATATTTATTGGACGTTTATGTGGAGCATTCTTCTAATGATTTTATTTGGAGTATCTCACTTCATATTCATTGATATTCCACAAGGTCGTCGATAGCTCCATGGTAAAGAAAAAGTGGAAACTCAAAGATTAGTTTATCTGAGTTCATACTGCTGGTAAGGGACAGCAGAATTTACACGCAAATGTGTTTCATTCCCAAAGCCCTATTCTTTACACTGTAATTCTTCTGTGAGAAAAAAGAATCACTCCTGAAGCCTAATTTCAAGGAAACAACTTCCTAATCACATGGGCAGGGAAGGATCTAATTGACTGATTTTTTTCCTTTCTCTCTTCTCTTTCTTAGGCCACCTCGAGATTTAGACTCTAAGGCTTGTATTTCTATTGGGAACAAGGTGAGTAAAACCCAGTCTGTCAATTAATACCTTGGCAACCTTGCATGCGTTCTGTCTGATTCACTATTAAACAATGTGCTTCCTGTAACACGCTTGTCCGGTGGTGGGTCAGAATGTTTGGATTTAAAGAACCATGGTATGTGTTCATGTACTTCTTCCAAAATCAGCCATGGAAAACATAATGGAACTTTAAAGCATATTTCTACTCATGGGGTTGTTTCAAGTTGGAATCCACTCAAGGCACTTGGTGATGAATTGAAATCAGACTAATTCGGTCTAAGGGTAGACTTTTGAGGAGAGTGAATAGCTCTCTTTGGGGAAATTTTTCAAACCCCAAACACTGTTCTATTTGCCAACAGCTAGCCAGTGCCATACAAGCCTAATGAAGGGGGTGTGGCTATAGGAGCACTTGAGAAGCCTCTTGGTGTTGGCTATTTTCAATTGCTTTAGATGACAGTGAATTATGAAGACTGAGAAAGAATCCATTTCTATTGTGAGTTGGTGAAGAATATGGAATAGGCCGTGCACTTCTGAAAGGACAAACAAAAATACAGGAAGAAATGTAGCCAGGGATGGTCCTTAGAAGCAGGGATGGTGAGACTTCATCTCACATACTCTCGCCATGCAGTTAGGAGAGGGGCCAGTCCTTGGAAAAGGATATCACGCTTGGAAAAGGAGAGAGTCAGAGAAAGAGAGGAAGACCCTGGATGAGCTGAGTTGATGATAATGACTGCAGCACTGAGTTTAAGCAGAGTGGAGACAGTGAGAGAGCACAGGGTTGGGGAGCGCTTCAGTGTTTTGAACTGAAGATTACTATGCCCTGGAGTTGATTCATCAACAACCTACAGGAACGGGTATTCTGAGAAGCTCTTGCTTTGCCTGTGACAAGCAGACGGCCTGCTTTAGCAGCTTCCGCATCTCTAGGTGCAACCTCTTGCTTTCGCCGGTGGCTTTGGTTTCCCAGAGAGTTTGTGACCCAGAAAAAGAATCAGTAGAACGTTAGGAAAAGCCCAAGAGAGGTCAACATCGCGGGCACCCTGCACACTTACTTGTCTCCTTTTGCATCATTGCCTTTCTCTCTTGCAGAACTTTGAGGTGAAGGCCGATGATCTGGAGCCCATCGTGGAACTGGGGCGTGGGGCATATGGTGTGGTGGAGAAGATGCGCCATGTACCCAGTGAGCAGATCATGGCAGTGAAGGTAGACCTGACTCACCCGCGCCGGGGTTTCTACCTGGGGCCTGCCTCTCTCTTTGTCCCTCTCAACTGCAAATCAAAGAAAATGTGATTTACATAGAAAAGGGAAAATCATTTGCCCTTTTCTTGGAAGCGAAAAAAATTATCAGTGGGGTAAAAAAAGATAGAAATGGTATTTGTGAGGCACAAAGTATTTCCCCAAGTACCTGGGAAATAATATTCTCAGCACAAATTGCATCTACATTTCTTTTCGTTGATAAGCCTCATCCTTCCTCCTTTTAATGATTCACACCACTGCCATGGCCTTATTATACTTAACAGAAATATTACACTTTATTAATCTTATTAAATAGCTGGATCACATAAACATGTCTGGGGATGGACTCAGTGGGAGTCTTTATTCATTTGTTTGCTTTTTTTTTTTTTGGTAGTTTGACTCAGCCCCCCAAATTTACATACCACCTTTGGTTGTTGTACCTTATCTTCTTTTCTTTCTGTTTTGTTGTTTTAAAAGAATTGGCCCCCAGATCAAGAATTGAGTGAGAAGACTCTGGTCTCCAATTAGGAGAATAGGGAATTAAGATGCAGACCATTAGATTGACATCGTTTTTGAACTGTTCAAAGTTCATGGCCTGCTTCTTGAGTGGATATTAGAGGGGCTGCAGTGAATTAGCACCCACCGGGGATGTATTCTATCTCCATAACTTTTCAATCTGTATGCAGAAGAGATAATCCGAGATTGGAGAAAAATTCATCAACAATCTGTGTTATGCAGATGACACAACCTTGCTTGCTGAAACTGAGGAGGACCGGAAGTACTTCCTGTTGAAGGTCAAGGACTGTAGTGTTCAATATGGATTGAAGCTCAACATCAAGAAAACAAAGATTCTCACCACTGGGCCAATTGGCAGCATCATAATGGATGGTGAAGACATGAAGATTGTTAACAGTTTTAGCTTGCTTGGCTCCACAATCAATACTTTTGGTGGCAGCAGCCAGTGAATCAAGACATGAATTGCATTGGGAAAGTCAGCTGTCAGGGACCTCACCAGAGTACTGAAGAGCAATGATGTCAGGCTGGAGACTAAGGTGTGCCTGCTCCAGGTCATAGTCTTTGCAATCACGTGCTATGTGTCAGAAACCTGAACAATGACTAGGGATGATAGGAAGAGATTTGATGCCTTTGAACTGTGGTGTTGGAGAAGAGTATTGAATATGCCGTGAACTGCAAGGAGAACAAACAGGTTTGTCCTGGAGAGGGTGAAACTCATCTACTCCTTGGAGGCAAGGATTCTGAGGCTTCTTTTGACATACTTCGGGCATGTTGCAAGGAGGGACCAGTCTTTAGAGAGGCAATCATGTTTGGGAGAGTGGAGGGACAGCGCAGGAGAGGAAGACCCTCGATGAGATGGATCGATTCAGTGATTGGGGTAATGGGAGTAGGTGTATTAGAGACAATGAGGTTGGCACAGGCTAGATCTGGGTTTAGGGCTGTTGTCCATAGGGTCGCGATTGTTTTGCAAGCAACTCTATGGCACATAACAACAACTCCAACACCAGTAGATCGTAGGTGGATAGAGGGTTTATACCTTGTAGAACGATCCAATCTTACCTGTTAGATAATGAGGTTTAACCTGCTGGGATTTTGTTGAGTAGGAAAGACTGTGGAGGTCTGGTGAGATTAAGGAGCAAATGGCTCCCTACTTAAATGTCCACTGCTACCACTTGAAATGTTAAATGTTCCAACCCACTTAATGACTCTATGAAGAGAAGACCTAGTAACCAATCCTGTAAAGACTGTTCTGTGCTGCCAGGTTGATTTCAGTTCATAGCAACCTCATGTGACAGAGTGGAACTGCCCTGTAGGGTTTCCTACACTGCAGTTTTGTGAGAACAGAGTGAGTGCTGGTGCTTTAGTCCGCAGGAAGTTGCACAGCTAACCCAAAGGCTAGCCTTCTCTGAGGGTTTGCACGCCAGCAAGTCTGCAGCAGAAAGATGGGCCGTCTCCTCCCGTGCAATTTATGGTTTCAGAAACCTCATGGAGGATTAGCCCCGAGTTGGTTCGGACTCGAGAACAATGAGTTTTTGAATGAGTTTTCTTTTGCAGAGACATTGGAACCGTTGATATGTAGCATCACTTAACATCTGAGCAGTTACCCAGTGACCCTTCAGGATTCTTTCCTGGGAAGATTCCCTTAAAGCCTAGGCGTGATAGGAACACAGGCTGTGTAGTTCATGCGCTAGCCAGATAAGAGGCTTGCATTTGAAATTCAGAGAAGTAATACTTGGGGTTCATGGGTTTTATTTACTTCATTATCATGCTTTTTTTTTTTTTAAAGTATCCCATGGCAGACAGTGTGTGGTGGAGCTCCCCAATTAAAACAAGCTTGAAAGCAGGAGAGGCATCCACTTCCGAAATGGGTTGCCTCTGGAAACTCTCTGAACAGTGCTCAGGTCTTCTGTTCATAGGGTCGCTGTGAGTTGTCTGACTCAATGGCACTTAACAACAACAGCAAAGTATCTTCACACACACCTATCTGCATTTCTGTTCCTAAGAAAACCGAAATTGGATTTATCCTGCATTAGAGAGCTGATTTTTATGCTATTGAAAGGAACCCATCACCCATCTAGCCTAACATGGTGGCTTGATGCTGGAAGCTATGCCAGCAGTATTTAAAATGCTGACAAGGTCACCAACGATGGACAAGTCTCAATGGAGCTCCCAGACAAAGGCAGAATTAAGAAGAAAGACATGGAATTCTGCCGAAAATGAGTGAACGAGGACCGTGTGGCTTCCAACAGCACATCGTCTTGAGCTGGAAGACGACGTGCACGGGGTGGAAAACCCTCTACATTCAAAGTGGCTGCTACCATGGACATGAGCATAGCATGGGTTGTGAAGATGGCCCCGGACTGGCCAAGTTCTGTTCTGTTCTGTATGAGACATCAGGGACCAGGAAGCGGTGTTGATTAAATGGCTGATGGAAACCAAGACAGAGCAGGAGCCTGGCTCAGTTAGCATGAGGATGTTCTGTCGTGTTGAGTTCACTGGAGAATGGAGGGACCTGCTCACCAGTATTGTCTCACCTTCATCATCATCAGTAATCACCTGCTCTATGGGGCACCTGTGTGTCTCAGCTCTCCTGGCCCCACTTGCTTGGCAGCTTCTGGAAGAAGGTGATGGTACTCTAACCATTTACCAATGGGGTCACTGAAGTGCAGAAAGATGAAGTAACAGAAGTAACTAAGAATATTAATGCTGGGACTGGGTCCCACCTCCAAGAACCTGACTTTGACCCTGTCTTTCTCAGAGAGAAACCTGAGGACCCATCAGACAGTGTCTCAGGGCCTCCCTGGGGGCCAGACCCCAGCTGCTTGCCCTCTGTCCCTTGCTGTCCCTTTTACAAATGTCAAGCTTCATGAAGTTCTGCGTGACTTACTATTACAGTAGTTGAAAAGAAGCTTTTAACGCTTCAGAATAAAACAAACCAAGACAAAACCCAACAAAGAGTAAAACCTAGGAAACTCTCTTTGTTAGGTGCTGTCAAGTGGTTTCTGACTTATCGCAATCCTGGTCCTGCTCCGTCCATGCACTCGTTGTCATGTTTGGGCCCATTCTCGCAGCTGCAGTGTCAGACCCTAGAGAGCAGATGTGCTGTCATATAGATTTCCTGTGAATCAGAATAGACCGGATGACACACAACGAAAACAGGTGGCATTATGTGATTTCTGCCACTTAATCATAAGACACTGGACTTTGCTTCTTTAATCCTGCCTTTGCTGGCCTGGCGTGTCCTTTTCTTTCAGGGGCACTGGGGCGGAAATGAGTGGGGTCCCATATCTGTCTGATCCTATCTCCTGTTGCTGTGCCCACACTCTCACACAGAAACTGTCACACGTCTCCCTGTAGGGGCTTTGTGTTTTTCCTTTCTCAGGATTCCTGATCAGCAGTGGAAAATGAGAGGGGGAAAAAAATGAAAAAGAAAAAGTGTAGCCTCCTGAACCTTGTGGCTCTTTGTACAGACAGAATGAAGAAAACCAGACCGTTTTTGTAACTTGGGAAAGACGTTGCTAAAGGCGAAATGTTTGCCCACTCTCCAGAATACATTCCTCGTGTGCTCCCTGCCGGGGATTAGTCAGGAAATCACGTGGATACGGTCTTCCTCAATTTCCAGGGGATGCAGATAGTGAATCACTTAGAGGATTGGGAGGGCTGTTGCTAGACAGTGGGTCGTGAATTCTTGTACAATTTCCTTAAGGTCTCTCTGCCTTGTGAACTGACTCATCCGCAAAGCAGTAACCGTAAATTTTTCCATGCATTTTCATCCAGCGGATCCGAGCCACAGTAAACAGCCAGGAGCAGAAAAGGCTACTGATGGATCTGGATATTTCCATGAGGACGGTGGACTGTCCTTTTACGGTCACCTTTTATGGTGCGCTCTTCCGGGAGGTAGGTCATGCTCTCCTTCCGCCTGAGGAGAACAGTAACTTGAGTGGAAATTGCTTGGGTCACGTAATCATCATTCACACTCAGGGTCCTCTTCTCTGCTGACATGTCTGAACTTGAAGGTTTTACGTTTTATTTGAAGAGCTTTGGTGGCACACCAGTTAAGCATTATACTAGCCAATATTATGTTGGTGGTTTGAACCCATCAGTGGCTCCACGGAGAAAGACCTGCTGATCTGTTTTCACAAAGATCCCAGCTTTAGAAACCCTATGGGGCCCTTCTTCCTTTTCCTGATGGGCCACTGTGAATTGAACTGACTTGATGACAATGGGTTCAGCCTTAGGCCAAGATGACATGCCTTACTACAAAATTGAGCTTTTTAAAAATCTGGCATTTTCAAATATGTCTACCACATTAAGTATGCTAAGACACACTTGTCTTGTAGACTGATCAATTGTGTATAGATTGATTTGGATGGACTCCTTCAAGTCTGAAATAGTCTGGTCCTTTTGGTCACAGAAGCTTCACGAAGCCTACTTAGGCACGCCACGGGCCTGTTTTCTTTCTTTGCCCCGCCTCTTTGCCATCTCACCCTTATGTGACAATGGCTCTTCAACTTACTCTTAAGACCAGTCTCTTGATTGACTCTGTGGCTTGTACTGTGTGAATGAGAGGTAAGGCACGGAGCTGGCTGACAGCAGGAACAGGAAAAGCTTGTGGCTGTTGGCATTCACACCCTGCTTTTAATTGAGGAATGGATGATCATGTGCGAGTTCTATTTGAGTATCTGCTGGCTTGTTCTTTGGAGATAATTTCCCTTGTTTATAAATTCCTTTGATGTGTTGAAATGAAGCTGTGCATTTTCTAAAAAAAAAAAAAAACCTCAAAGCAAGAAAATTATAGTTAAAAATAAAAACTGTGACATAAACAGATATACGCACACCCATGTTCATTGAGACATTATTTACAGTAGCAAAGAAATGGAAACAACCATATCCATCAATGGATGAATGGACAAGCCAACCATGATCCATGAGTATAGTGGAGTACTATACAACACTAAAGACTAACGATGGGTTTGGGAAACATAACATAGTATGAGTGAGTCTAGAGGACATTATGCTAAGTGAAATAAGTCGGTCACAGAAAGGGCAATCGTATGACCATTATTATTAAAAAGCGTAAAAAATTTTTCCTGCTTGGAAGGGTGGAGGGACAGCACAGGAGAGGAAGACCCTGGATGAGATGGATTGCTACAGTAACTGGGGCAGTGGGGGTTGGTGTGTCAGAATTAGTGCAACTGGCTTGGGACAGGGAAGGGTTCAGAGCCGCTGTACATACAGTCACTATGGGTCGCAGGTGACTAGATAGCATATAACAGCAGCAACAACAAAAAAGGTTTACACACAGAACAACATATTCTTAGATTGTTATTGGGGGTGGGAGGGAGAGAGGGGAGTGGAAAAAATCAGTAAATAGATTATAATAATAATTATTATTATTATTATTACTACTATTAAAAAGAATAATACTTATTATTAATAAGAAGAACAACCCCAAACCACATTGCTGTTGTGTTCGAATCAACATATTGCTGATCTTTCAGTGGGTTTCCGAGGCTGTAAATTGTACAGGAAGAGATTTCCCATAATAGTCCTGAGCAGCAGCTGGTGAATTCGAACTGCTGGAAAGGCGAAGCCTTTTGGGTTGGGGCGTGACTTTCTACAGATGAGGCCACAGCACTCCCTTGACAAAGACGCTATAGACACTTATGAAGATGAGTGAAGGGAAACAACATACATAAAGAAAGAAGAGACACAGGAAATACCCTTAACAAAGGTACACACTCTTCCATGCACCATCGTGCAGTATCATCAATGATCAATGTTCATCTCCAAGTCACTATAGAGGCAGACAGATAAGATGCAGGTGAGTGAAAGGGTTTTCAGGACCATTTACAAACAATTTAGATAAAGAAACAATGTTCCTCCTGACAGATGTTAAATGTTCTTTTGTTTGCTTGCTTTTTTTCTGCCTCTTCCATTCTCTCTGATGATCCTCCAACCCCTTGGTCTCCAGGGTGACGTGTGGATCTGCATGGAGCTCATGGATACATCACTGGATAAATTCTATAAGCAAGTCATTGACAAAAACCAAACGATCCCAGAGGACATCTTAGGGAAAATAGCAGTTTCTGTGAGTACACTAAGACCTGCCCCCAGGAGCTTGTGGGAAGTCCCAGCCTCTTGTGTCTTTGTATTCTTTGGGTAAAGAACCCCTCCCTTGACCACAGCTACCATCTAATCCATCGCTGTTGAATGTGTACGTGAATCAGTGGGTGGTTAACGGAGTGCTTTTCTCCCCCACAGTGGGGAAGAGTCTACCACGGGCTTGGTTCGGGAAGTTAACTGTGTTCCATGCAATGTGTTCATTCAGTGTGGCCCATTCCTGGTGTCTGTATTTTGCAACACGTCTTCCCATTTTCATTGGTAGAACTTCTGTGTTTTGTTTGTTTTCTCAGTAGAACTGATAGTCGTTGAAAGGAGCAGAAAAAAGGGAAATGGAAGGAAAGAGTTCTCTTAAAGACTGTTGAGGTTTGGGAATGTGGAAGAGGAAAAAAAAAATAAATTAGAATCCTGGTCAGTAGAAACATGCATAATAGGACTTAAAATTCTCCAGAAGTTCAGGAGCCATTGAGATGAACTGAACCCTTGAAATTATTGCTTTGAGATAATCTTCAAACGGTAAACTCTTGACATCTTCTCCTGATGTCTTTGAAATAAAAAGAATAGTTTGTTTTATGAAGTAAACTATGTCTGCTTTGAATATTGTACTCTTTCAAAGAATTCTCTCTTTGAGATCACACTAAGAATAGCAGCTTCAAAGGTTCAGACAAGAAGCTTCGTAAAAGTTAAGGCAAAGGTAGTAGAACAATTTTCAGAAAGATGGCAGGGGGGTTGTACAGCTGCAAGAATTTAATCCGTGTCACTGAGTGGTGTGTATGGACATTGTTGAAATGGCATATGACTGTGTGTCTTTTTACTAATATGAAACAAATGCTTGAGACCAAATGAAATACCAGATGTGTGAGAATGACATTCTCTCTTCTAGAAGATGTAATCTCTCCAGCAGATGGAGCGAGCGTTAGCCATCCATTCACCTACCTATGTAGTCATTCATCCATCTTTGTGTAACTTCTTGGACATTTCCCTTCATAAGGCTACTTTTTCGGGAAATAGCCCACCTTGTGACACTCAGCCGTGGCTAACTGACCGGGATATTGCTCACCTTTCATTTCAGTGATGGAGTGAGTGTACTGTTTGTGTTTCTCTTGCAGATCGTTAAGGCATTAGAACATCTACATAGTAAACTCTCTGTGATTCATCGAGGTAAGCACAAAGGGAGCTGGCCTGGCTGCTCCTTTTAGAAAATTCCTCTCCTTTCCTTGCCGTTGTTGTCATTGTTTTCCTTCCCTCAGATGGAAGCAGATTCGAGTCAGACAAGAGAGCGTAAAACTTTTCTTTTGGGGTTAGTTAGTAAATCACATGCAGAGCTGAGGATAGAATGGGGCATGGATTCTACAGCAACATGTCTGAACTATGTAGGATGAAGCTATATTGTCTTGGCTTCCAAGGAGTAATTGTTTCTCAGAGATTCTAATTCTATTGCCCAGTGGGAATTACGGCTCCCATTTTTTTGGAGGGTGTGAGTAAGTGGGTTTTTATCCTTCTCATTCGAAGGATTTGCTTTTGACTTTCCAATAAATAAATAAATACTTTCCCATGTATGTAGATAGCCCCCAATGTAAGACAGAATCACATTACAATGAATCACACTAATGACCATCTGATCTTAGGGCTGTTTTTTTTTGGCATGTTGTTAGACATTTGTACTACATGGAGATAGAGCATGCCATTTGCTGATGTTGTCACTCTCATATGTTCACAGAAAAATTAAGGTCAGATTTATAGTCTGCTAATAAACTAACCAAACCAACTCACTTCCATAGAGTCAATTCCAATTCACGGAAATCTCCTTGTGTTTCCAAGGCTGTCAATCCTAATGGCGAGAGACTACCCATCTTCTCCTGAGAGGCAGCCCGTGGATTCGAACCCCTGTTCTTTTGGGTCACAATCTGACCTGCAATATATCGCATTACCAGATTACCTTAATTATCATTAAAGACAATAATATTGGGGGGCAGGGGGAGCAGGGAGCAAAATGCAACTATGAATGAATGGAAATCCAAAATCTGTAAACATTCATTAAAATGAATAAAATACTTTTTTTTTTTTTACAAAAAGACAATCATAATGAAAAAGAAAAGTATTTTACTCACTTATGAACTAGGACACAAGTCAGTATTGTTGGCATGGAAGCCACGTAGAAGTCAGGGACTCCTGGTCCCACGTCTTCTGCACGGTCTCTGGGTATGACAGGTCATATACCGTGTGACCTCTGAGGCATCCTTTTCAGAGATTCCATTCGAAACTGGTTGCTTTGATCAGGGTTGTTTCCTCCTTTAAGTCACTATCTGCTTTTCTATTTTATAATCTATTTTTTCTTCCCCTGTTCTACGCATATACTATAAAATTTTGATTCTGTAATAATTTTAAAATATTCAAAACACACATGAAGACGGTGTACAAGATCTAGCAAGGATAGAGAAGAGCACTTTCCTTTAATAGAGTCACAATCCTACAATAAGGAAAACGTGACAGAGAAAAGTCAAGTTCTAAGCAATTGGCCGGTCACCTTAATTCAGGATGGCAGCTGCTCGGGGTTTGGGCTCTTTGGCTCAGAAAGGTGTAGGACAAGTGGAGGTTTCTGGCCCTCTGGTGGTAGAGACGTGGATCTTCAAAAGAGGTGACTGGTGCCTGACTGTTCTTGCTTTCAGACGTCAAGCCTTCCAATGTGCTGATCAATGCCCTGGGCCAAGTGAAGATGTGCGACTTTGGAATCAGTGGCTACCTTGTGGACTCTGTTGCTAAGACGATTGACGCAGGATGCAAACCTTACATGGCTGTAAGCAGGGGCGGGCACCCGAGACGGCACTGGTCCTGGCACCCGAGATGGCCCTGGTCCCCACACCAGGCCAGGAAGCAGAAAGTGCAAGGCCTCAGAGGGAAAAGGAAAATGTGTTTCCCCCTCACCTTGTCTAGAACCCAGGAAATAGCAGCATCTTAAGAATCTTAAGTACAGTGAAACCTGTGAGAATCGGAACTCCTGGGAAGTGGGGTGTGTTCCAGGTTTCCCAGGTTTTCTGCCTTTCCTGAGGGGCCATCTCGCCTCTTTGCTGTGCCTCTTGTTAGCTGAAAATATTTACGTTTTTCATCTCCAGCAGGTTTCTGCTTACACAGACTCTGGCTTCTGCAGGTTCTACTGTATTTTCTACCTGCAATCCTTAGTTAATGGGATCTCCTTTGAAACTTATTTTTCAATCAAGTAATAGCTGTATCATATCATGTGGAGTAGAAAGAGAGCAAGTGAGATGACCTGCATTACATCCCCTGTGAATGACAGAGTTACCTTGCTGGCTGAGCGGAGAAGAGTGAGGAGAGGATAAATTACCCAAACGAGTCTGTTCGTTCATTTTGCCCCGGCAGCCTCTCCCGGCTGAGAAGGTTCAAGGCTGGTCCTTGAGAACTGGGGTCTCCTTAACTAAAGAGATTGAGAATGCATTCTTGAACACAGGCTTATTTCTAGAATTGAAAAACTTTCTTTCAGGTTCCAACAAAGTTTAAGTCTTTACTATTGACCAGGGATTCAGTACCATTTGGTGGTTTGCTTTGCTGCGTTCTGGACTGTTGCATTTTTAATAAGAATCATTCTAGGCTGGAGAGGAGTTATAGGGCTTGGACCTTAGCTTAAGTGACATGAAATTTGTGATTTGCTCAGGAATTCTGAGCCATCACTCTTGCCCAGCAGACAAGCACAGAGAAAGTACGGAGAATAGCGTGGAGACGTTGATGTTTGTGGTAGTGAGTCTGCTCGTCTAAGCAGGCATACGGACCACTTCTAACAGCTCTCAAGGCAGCTGGTTTACCCACCCTCACTCACCCTGGAGAATTTATCCAGCTAAGAATGTCAAAGACTCAAAAGACCGCTTTAGTTTGTTTGGCTGGCTCCACAGTCGACACTCTTGACACCAGCAGACAGGAAATTAAAAGACATATTGCGATGGGACAGTCTGCTGTTAGGGACCTCTCCAAAGTACTGAAGAGCAATGGTGTTATTCTGGAAACCAAGGAGCATTTGATACAGGCCATGGTCTTTGCAATCATATGCTATGCGTCAGAGAGCTAGACAATGACTAGGGAAGATAGAAGGAGAATTGATGCCTTCGAGCTGTGGTGCTGGAGAAGAGTATTGAGTGTACTATGGACTGCTGGGAAAACAAACAGATTCATCCTGGAGAGGGTTAAACCGGGTGGCTCCTTGGAGGCAAGGATTCTGGGGCTTCGTCTGACATACTTTGGACATGTTGTAAAGAGGGACTGGTTCCTGGAGAAGGACATCATGCTTGGGAGGGTGGAAGAACAGCACAGGAGGGGAAGACCCTCTATGAGGTGGATTGATTCAGTGACTGGGGTAATCAGGGTGGGTGTGTCAGAGACAGTGCAATTGGCACAGGATAGAGCAAGGTTTAGGGCTATGGTACAGAGGGTTGCTATGAGTCGCAAGCAACTCAGTGGCACATAACAAGAATGTCAACTCACTTGTCTTTTTCTGTCTTCTTTCCAGCCTGAGAGGATAAACCCAGAGCTCAACCAGAAGGGATACAGTGTGAAATCTGACATTTGGAGTCTGGGTATCACCATGGTACTGTATGCTAACCTTCCTGGGCTCCAGTGTTCTGGGCATGGTGCGGGGCGGGGGCTGGCTCTGGGACCAAGAGACTAACACTCTCCATCCTGCACGAGATGGCAGGTTTTCATGTAGACTGTGTACTATAAAGACTGACCTAGACTTGGACAATTGCAGTTTCTCTCTCTGGTAGTGCAGTCTGTAGGAAGTTGCGCTGTTAACCCAAGGTGGTGCCTCTGGTGGTTTGACTCCACCAGCTGCTGTGTTTGAGAGGAATGGGCAGTCTGAACTTGAGTGACTTAACAGCCTCTAGAAACCCACTGGAGGGGAGCTGTGGCTTGTTCCTGGCTCAGTGGCAGTGAGTTAAATTTAAATCAACTACACATCCTTTAGTAAATAGACCTACTTATGTGAGCTGTCTTACTATTTTCTTTTGCGTATATAGTGTTGTTCTTGTTGTTAAGTGCTGTTGAGTCGTAGATGACTCATAACAAGTGACCCTATGAACGAAAGACCTGAACACTTGGATAATTTCATCATTTCTCCAAGTTCATAGGGTTTTCCGGAGGCAAGCTAGTTTGGAAGTGGATGCCATTCCTGCTTGTAAATGTGTACAGTAACATATACATTACACACACACACACACACACACACACACACACACACGCATCATGGAAAGAATTTAAGACGGGTTTGGAAGCAGGAGGGAGTGGCATCTATTTCCTAAACAACATGCCTCTGCAAACTATGAACTTTGAGAAATGATTTTTATAGAAAGACTTCAGGTCTTTTGTTCATAGGGTCACTATGAGTCGTGCTTGACTCAGTGGTAATCAACAACAACAACTCTCTCTCTCTCTCTCTGTGTCTCTGTCTCTGTCTCTCTCTCTCTCTAGAGACACACACACACACACATTGTTGTTATTGTTACATGTCCCTGAATTGAAACTGACTCATAGTTGACCCTCCTGTGGATTTTCAGACACAATAAATTTCATGGGACGAGATTGCCTCTCTTTCTCCCATAGAGCAGGTGGTGTGTTTGAACCATATGTCTTTAGATTGGCAATGCAATTCTTTACTAGGCCACTTAGAACTCTAAGTATATATAAATATAATGTTATATAAATAAATCTTTCATAAATACACGGACATACTTTTTAGCTTTGAGTACTCAATTCCAAGCAGAAAGCCTTGTTGCTCCCCTGCATGTTAAAATAAATCTTTTAAAATGGTACCTCCAGATTCTTCTTATTGTTGAGTACCATTGACTCAGAAATGACTCCTGGTTGACCCTTCAGCGAGTTTTTAGAGACAGTCAATTGCACGATATTTACTGTCTTTCTCTTGTGGAACAGCTGGTGGATTTGAACTGTAGACCTTTGGATTGGCAGCACAATTCCTTACCACTAAGTCACCTGCGGCCAAGATACTCGGCTTTGCCCTATAACTAGCATGTTAGCTTTTATTCTAAAATTATTATTGCTGTTGTTGTTATGTAATATCAAGCTGAAGCTGACCCATGGCTGACCTTCCCCTGAGTTTTCAGAAGCAGTAAATTGCTCAAGAGGAGATTGACTATCTTTCTTCCATAGAGCAGCCGGTGGATTCGAACTGTGTGCCTCCAGGTTGGCAGTCCAGTTCCTTACCACTTGGCCATCAGAGCTCAAAGTGACTATTAGTTGCCTTGTAACTTATAACTAGCTCCTGCTCGGATACATACCACAACATGCATGGACCTGAAGGCTCATCCTCAGGAAAGTAAGCCAGATAGGAAGAAAGCAAATACTGTGTGATCCCACTTACATGAAATATCTTCCAACTGAACTCATTGTCATGAGGTCTGGACTAGGCACATGCAGAGAGATGGGAAGTAGAATAGTGGTGACCGGGGGTGAGGCAGTGGGAAACTGGGTCATTTTTTACTCCTCCTCAAAGAAGAATGGGTACAGAGTTTCTTTTTGGCATGATGAGGTTTTGGAAACAGTAGTAATGTTTATAGTTACAATATAGTGACTATAATGGATGCCACTGAACTGTACTCTTGAAAATGATTTAAATAAAAATTTTAGTTTAATAAATTATACTATGATGGGGGAAAAATAATTAATTATCTCATACGAGTCAGGGAAGAAGCTTAAGATGTCCAAAGAGTGCTGATACGTGAGAGGCCTAATACTCTATCCAGGACGTAGACTTATTTCTCCATATATTATTGTGATAGAATTCTTGATTGTTGGGATAAGGTTTATCCTAAAGATGAGCTAACAGAGAGCATAAAAATCCTGCATCACAGCTCTAAAACGATACAATCAGCGACTTATCAACAACTTAAAAAAAAAACACAACAAAACCCAAACCAAAGAAAAAATTGTGACCATCGAGTTGCCAGCGACTCCTAGCGATCTCTGGCATGCATCTGAGTAGAATTGTCCTCTGTCATGTTTTAAATGGCTGGTCTTTTGGGCAGCATGTTGCCAGGTCTTTCTTCCAAGGTGCTGCTGGGTGGACTTGAACATCCAATCTCTCAGTCAGCAGCCCGGGTGATTGTACATTTTCAGAGTCTCACTAAGGTCTGGAATTAGCCCTGGCTCCTTCCCAGGGACAGCAGCTGACGGAGTCCTGCGAGTTATTCACGTCCTCTGCCCAGAAAACACATGATCCTGTAAACGGCACAGTGGCCTTTACTCAAGTCCAAAAAAAGACCTGTCGCTCAGTTGTAGGGCTGCTTCTTCCCCCCCCCCCCCCTCATTCTGGCAAGGGACCTACACAGCTCTGTAAAGGTCTAAGGGCGAGGATGACTCTTCAAAGCAAACATTTATAAACCTAGATTTTTCCAACACATTTAATCCTGGTGGCTCACAATTTTAATTAAGCACCTCCATGAGATTCAGTTTCAGGTTTTAGTATTACATAGACTTAAATAACTGTCTTGATTATGATAATTTTTTTTTAAATCTTAGTATGAATTGGGCAGGCTGGGGCCTGGAGCCTCCACTCTGGGAGTTTGTTTGGCTGCTAGCTGGCACCCTGATAGCAGTCCTGTTGGTCACATAAGGGAAGTTTTCGGGGTCATGTTAGATGTGTATTACTGCTCTTCACCCCGCCCCCCCGCCAGAGTGGGTGTCCTTGAGCCTTTGCTTAGCGTGGAGGTCTGCTCAAAGGCGTGGCTTTAAAACCCCACAGGGGGTGGGGATGGGACTGCAGGCTGGGGCAGGAGTGGCAGATGTCTCTGGAAACTCTACAAACTTTCTAAACTCTACAAACTTTCTAAACTCTACAAACTCTCTAAATGTACAGAAATAAAGTTAGTTCTAGAACAGAGGTCTGTAATAAAATGATGTTAGTTATAGAACAGAGTTCAGGTCTTTTGTGGAAAGCTTACTCTGAGTTTTATTCGACTTAATGACACTTAACCACTGCTAAATGAAACTAGCGCTGTTATATCTGGAGGAACATTCTTCCACTTTGCACATCACTCTTTGTCAATGTGCTGTATGAAGTAACCTAGGTTTGCTGTGATGCTGAACCTTGTACCATTGGGGTATCAAAGACCAGAATGGGTTCCCACTGTGGACAGTGTTTGGTGGAGCTCCCAGTTGTAAAACAGGTTTGGAAGCAGGAGTAGCATCCACTTCCTGCCCCACATGCCTCAGGAAATTCTGTGAACTTGGAGAAATGATGATAGTTATAGAAGGGCATTAGGTCTTTTGTTCATAGAGTTGCTATGAGTTGTGCTCGACTCAAGGACAATCAACAACGACAACAACAACAACAACAACAACAACAATCACACTATGAATTGGGGGGACAATTGCTTGAGGACGTGTTAGTTCATTTCTACTCCTCCTAGTCTTAGGTAAATGTCACCTTGTACTTGTTTCTGGGTTTCTTGGGACAAAACATACCCACCTTGCTGATGCTGCCCTGTTGAAGCTCTTGTCAACTTCTCTTCCTCTTCCTCCTAGATCGAGCTGGCCATCCTCCGATTTCCCTACGACTCGTGGGGAACTCCCTTCCAGCAGCTCAAACAGGTGGTAGAAGAGCCGTCACCACAACTGCCAGCAGACAAGTTCTCCGCAGAGTTTGTTGACTTTACCTCACAATGGTAAGCCAGCCTCCCCTCCCGGGTGTCAGCAGAGGAGGAGGACACACTGTCGTGAATCTGCTCCCTCGGGCTAGGCCATTATTCACGGTCATTCCGAGAGCATGTGTCCCATGCGCCCTCTGGGCTGGGTCAGAGATGACTTTATCATGGTCCCTGTCCTCCTGGAGCTCAGAATCAGCCGGAGGCGGCTCATCATTCAGTTGTAGTAGTGTGGTGTGCCAGGTCTATCCATGCTGGAGAAATGCCTCGCATGTTTGAGAAACTTAAAAGAGAGGTATTCACAAAGAACATTCTGAGCTGAGAGTCTGGGCGGGGAGGGGGGGGGGGCGGAAAGATATTCCAAGAAGAAGGAACAGATGTCAGGCATAGTGTTGCTGTTGTTATATACCTGACCAAAAGCCACACATGTGATAGAGTAGGACTGTCCCAAAGTTTCCTGTTTGAAAGCAGGTCAGCAGAACTTTCTTCTATGGAGTTACTTGGTAGGTTTGAACCATGGACCTTTGGTTAGCAGCCAGGAGCCCTTATGCATAGAGTTACCAAAGTGAGAAACACCTTTTTTTTTTTTAAATACTTTTATTGATTTTCATATAGTAATATCTTTACAGTATGTTTCATTCATATACATTTCCCCCTACTACTTTATTTACAAAATTCAAATACAAATAACAGATTCTTTCGATTTCCTTCACCTCCCACCCATCAAATTGTACAACCCAATGATTAATCCCCCCTTCCTCCTGCACATCCACATCCCTCTGCTTCCAGCCTCTCCCACCCCTCCTGGATTCTTATACTCATTCTACAATAATGGTTTGAGCTATTCTACTATTTGGAATATACCCTGAGAATATGAGAACTGAGGCACAAACTGAGATTTGTACACCAATGTTCAAAGCAGCATTATTCACCATCGCAAGAACATGGAAACAGCCCAAATGTCCAACCATAAACGAATGAATTGAAAAATTATGGGACATTCACACAATGGAATACTATGTAGCATACAGGAACAATAACTTTGTAAATTATTACCTAACTTGGGAGGAACTGGAGAGCATTATGCTGAGTGAGAAACAGTTTTTTAAGAAACAGAAGCCATTTGATACTGATTACTGCAGGGAGGTGGATAGCTTCCACTGAAGCCTAGAGACAGGGAGGAGATATGCACTGAAGAACCCCTTTGGGTAAGAAGACTGTATAGTTTGAGATGTTAGTGAAGCCCTTAGCCTTGTGTGTGTGCATCATCGGCTTCTCGCTGTGGATAGAATTCCCTGTGAGGGTAGAGGGAATAGTGTCGAGGGTCTGGAGAAGGAATCCAAAGGAAGAAAGAAGGAAGAAGTCATGTGCTTATCATTGGGTGACGTGGGGTCGGACCTGACTTATTGCGACCCTGCGTCCAATTCAGTTCTCACTGTGTCACCCTCATCATCTCAAGCGCACTTGAGCCCACTCTTAGCCACAGCGTCAGCTCATCCCCAGCAAAGGTCTTTTCTCCTGCTGACCCCCCTGACTTTACCAAGCATCGTGTCTTTCTCTGGAGACTGACCCCTTCTGACAACTTGTCTGAAGTATAGGAGACAAGTCCCCAGTGTCTTTGCCTCAAAGTAGCATTCTGACCACACTTCCTCCAAGACAGATTTGTTTGGTCTTCTGGCAGTTCCTGGTTTATTCACTATTCTTTCCCAGTGCCTTCATTGAAAGGCATCAATTATTCTTCTATCTTCCGTGTTCATTGTCCAGCTTTCACATGTGAAGTGACTAAAACTACTGTAGCATTGTTACTAAATATTAGAGCTTGGGACAGGCTCTTGTGAATCCTCAAAGTGACATCTTTGCTTTGGAACTCCTTAAAGAGTTTTTTGTTTGTTTGTTTTCTTTTTTTGCATCAGAGTTGCCCAGTGCAATCCATCACAATCCAGTTAAGGCACCATGACTGTGCTGTAGCGATAGATGTTTTTGTTGTCATTTAAATTGCCAGTGGAACCTAGCCAGCAAGACCACGAATCCTTCTAGTCATTTCTGCGTGTGTGGCTATGGTGGGCCTACTTCACTTGATACTGATGACCATTGTATCAGGTGCTGCTGGAAAACGGGGTGTCGAAAGTAAAACGAGATAACACCACCGCCAGTTTATACAGGAAAACTGCGGAAGCAGATCAGGATGAGGAGGTGGTGGGGTTAGACATGGTTTTGAGACGGTCTGTGGCCCGTGGAGAGCAGCATTCTGGGCAGATGCTGCTGCTGAAGGAGCTGGAACTCTGAAGGCTTTCTGAAGCCCAGAGGACTCTGTGTTACCAATAGTGAAGCAGATCCCCTCTCTCGTAGAAATCACTCCTTGGTTGCCATGCTCATTTTGTTGGAGAAACGTGATGAGACTAAGCATCAATTGCTGGGAAAAGTAAGGCTAAGTCTTGGACACATTGTACCATCTCTCCTCTGTTCCTTTTCCCTAATGATGTATGAGGCTGCCCAATAGTTATTTTGTTTTCTTGATTGAAACAGCAGAGAAAGGGCAGAGGCTTGAGCACTAGTGGAGTAGTAGGTTGTTGGATGCCTCTTAAATTACACAACCTTCAGCTGAGATGTGTCTTCTTGTCTACTTACTCTGAGGGAGTATGCACCATGTGGTGGTCTGCCTGCCTGGAAGATCAAACAGGGTCATAATTCTGCCTTTTGGCTTCAAGATCATGGTGCTTCAAGTTTCTTTTCCCCTTATCTGCAAATATGTAAAGGTCTCCTGGGAGAAGACAAGTTATCTTGGATCGTTGAGCAATAGATCTCATGAGGGCAGGTATGGGTGAAGGACCTATCTAGAGGTCCTATCTAGAAGAGTCTGTTCAAGCTCACTTTCCTTCTAGCCTTTGCTCACCTGTCCCTGGAGCTAGGACCCTGGCAGAGAATGAGACTGGTGCAACTAATTTGAGACGGCTGATCCCACTCTGGTGATTCCTAGTTTCATCCACTGGTTCTCCACTCTGACTGCTCATTTGCAAATATCTAGAGAGCAATGGTGTCTCTCTGGAGAATAAGGTGCATCTGATACAGGCCATGGTCTTCACAATCACTTGTTATGCATCATAGAGTTGGACAGTGACTAAGGAGGATAGAAGGAGAATTGATGTCTGAGCTTTGGTGCTGGAGAAGAGTATTGAGAGTACCGTAGACTGCTAAGAAGACAAACAGGTTCATCCTGGAGAGGGTTAAACTGGGCGGCTCCTTGGAGGCAAGGATTCTGAGGCTCCGTCTGACATACTTTGGGCATGTTGTAAGGAGGGACCAGTCCTTGGAGAAGGACATCCTGCTTGGGAGGGTGGAGGGACAGCGCGGGAGGGGAAGACCCTCTATGAGGTGGATTGATTCAGTGACTGGGGTAATCGGGATGGATGTATTGGAGACAGGGCAATTGGCACAGGACAGAGCAGAGTTTAGGGCTGTTGTACATGGGGTCGCTATGAGTCACAAGCAACTCAATGGCACATAATAGCAACAACAACAGGGAGCTTTCAGACATCCTGATGCCGAGACGTCACCCTCAGCCGTCCTGATTGACTTGGTTTGGAGAGGGGCCTGGATACTGACATTTTCCCAACTTTTCCTCATATCCATCACATGTAGAGCCAGGGCCATGCATTTTTTGGATCTGCTAGCAACTTCCTTCTATTCAGAAAGCTTCTATTCTTCCACTTATTAGTTAAAAATTATCCAATTATTTTTATTTCTCTTTCACCAAAGAGTGATTTCTCTTGAACAGAATGTCTCCCCGAAGGATCAGAGCTTTTAAGCTCTTTACAGGTGTCTTACAATGGAAACCTTGAAAAAGAAAGAATATCATTTTATCATTCCTGTAAATGTGTACTTATGTGGAAATTCTCATTTATCATTTTCTTTCTCCCTGTATGACAATCACCCTGTAACTATCCTTGTCCTCGGATAACCTAGAGTGTCTTTATGGTCGTCCCTTTGAGATTCCCTGTCCCCGTCTTTTATCTCACTTCTTGTTCCAGATTCTAGAACATTTTATTATTTTGCAATTTTGAGCTCTAGACATGTTCTTGTTTTCTTGAAAGTGCTCATTCTGTCTTCTCATTTACACTCAGGAAAGGTAGTCTTGTCGGGCTGGTTTATAATTCATGGCTGTTGAGTTGATGATGACTCCTAACAACCCTCCGCTGAGTTTTTAAGTCTGTGAATCTACACAGGAGGAGACTGCCCATCTTTGTCCCTCTAGGGCAGCTGGTGGTTTCCAACTCCTGACCTTTGGATTCTCAGTGCAACACCTAACAGACATATTATGCCACCAGACCTCCTGGCGTGTTCCTGCTACTGCTGTTAATATTGATGACGATGATGATGATGATGATAAAAGAAATGAAAATTCTTCAACTCTGAAGCCAAACATTCTTCTTCTTCAGACTCCCAGGACTGTAGCTTAGTTAGAATCAGATATGTGAGAGCATCAATTGTGTAAGCTGATGACTCGTTGTAATTGGTATGAGGATTGGGAACTAGAAGCAATGCCATTTTTATTTTTATGGACATTTTTTTTCTTATCTTCACTTAGATTTTTTTAGGAATGTAGAGTATGTTAGTTGGAGAGTACAGAGTGCCCCGTCAGTAGATTTTTTTGCCATCCATTCAACCACCAGCACTTTCTTTGCTATGAAGTGGAGTTGGAAAAGTGATCTTGTGCTTCAACAAATGCACTGATGCTGATGTCTTTTTTTTTTTTAAATCTCATGATTGACCTAGATTTAAAAAAAAAAATGTTTATTAACAACTTAGATTTTTACAGAAACAATTTTTCATGTACACTGGTATACAGACATATACCTCCACCTAAGATCGAGCTAATCATATCACATTTTTATTTTCTTTAAAAGAAACCTTACTGACGGTTTTCAGTTTGATCAAGAGCTAGACAAAAGACTGAAAAATGATTGTTTGGGATGAATACCTAGTCTTTGATAATGAGAACGTGTAGCCTCCAGGTGTAATCA